TGTGATACCTCCGAGTTCAAACCCAAGTACTACCCAAAAAAAAAAAAAATTTTTTTTTTTTTTTAAAGTGAAATTCAGAATGATTGAATGCAGGAAATCATGGATTTTATGTTGGACATACTCAGTTTGAAATACCTGAGATATAGAGGTAGAGTTATTGAGTATGTAGTTGAATATGAGTGAGGGTTGCAGTGACTGGTCTAAGTGGGAGATGTAGGATTACTTGGCAAATGGGTGGCATTCATACATTACAAATTTTACAGATTGCATCCATGTGATGTAATTAATGTGTTCTCCATTCTTGCTTATTATTCAAGTTCAGTTTTTGTTTTGTTTTTTAAAACAATACCCTTCTGCCAGGAGGTGTATAAATCTGGTTGGATCTTTTTTCGTATTAGCAGGTTTTGATGATCACTATGTAGACCTACAATCTCGTTAAGAACATAATATTCTTGCTGGTGATACAGCTCAGTGGTAGAGCACTTGCCTAGGACCCACATGCTGGGTTCAGTCTCCACACACATGCACTATTCTATCTTAATGTTTTGGCTAGACTACCTTCATATGGAAAAACTCACTTTTTTTAATTTTTGATTTTTTTTTTTTTTTAAGCTTTACCTTTTTTTCTTTGGTGGTACTAGGGTTTGAACTCAGGGCCTCATGTTTGCTAGGCAGGTACTCTACCACTTGAGCCACTGCCAGTCCTTTTTTTGAGTTTTTGTTTGTTTGTTTGTTTGTTTTTTGTCTTTTTTGGTGCTGGATGAGATTTTTTTTTTCCAGATAGGGTCTTGCAAAAGAACTGTTTGCCCTGGCTGGCTTCGAACCATGATCTCCTAATCTTTGCCTCCTGAGTAGATAGGATTACAGGCGTCAGCCATAGGCCCATGGTGAAAGCTGTGTTTTTTGTTTTACTTGTTTGTTTCTTTCTTTTGATTCCACCATGTAGCCCAGACTGCTCTTGAACTCATTCTCCTGCCTCTGCCTCCTGAGTGTTTAGGATTTGCCCCCCTAAAGTATATATTTAGTAATCTGCATTTCCCTTTCAGTAAGTGTCTTATTGTAAGTGTCTTACAATAAAGATGAGTTCAGAAATTTGAAGGGTTTTGCTGGGTTGCAGTGGTTCATAAATTTACTTGCTCAATATTTTCAGCCTTTCTCAAAGCAAACGCCTTTTCTCCTTAGTTTAACATAAAACTTCAGAATGATTTTTTTGGAAATTTTGTTTTTGAAGGCTAGCCACTGTTTGTGATGACAGCTGAAGCTGCATAGCATAAATATCTCTGATTCCTTGGTTTAGCTGAAAATACATGCTCCCCTACCCAAGGGGTAGCAACAAAGTACACTGTTACTCTCCCATGTACTGTCTTTGATCAACTCAGTTTTTTAGGGAAAATAGCCACAAAGGTATGAACCAGCCTCCTCAGTTTCCAGTAAACCAACAGAAGCAGTGCTTGTTTTAGAGAGGTAACTTCACCTGACAATTTGAAAGTTAACTTTTTGATAGTGAAAGGACTACTATATTGAAAACCTATGGAATTTACCACTAAGAGAAAACATCCAAGGAACCAGGGTCTTTGGTAAGTGAGATTCCTTTCTAATGTAAATACTGAGAGAAAACACCTTGGTGCACATTTATGAAATTAATTTTACTTTATGAAAATGAGATTTCTAGGACCTGATTTCAGACATTTTCAGATTTAAAACGACTGGTTGCAAAGCTAAATAGCATGTTTGTTTTTGTTCCCTTTACTCTCTCACAGTGCTTCTTTATTAGGTCTCTTGGCATATAAGCCAGTTTGACTTGACAGTCCCAGTTTTCTAATTTTTTTTTCTTGCCAGCTTCTACTGGATTCTGGATATGTGAAATTCTACTACTAAAACTGAAATATGCTCAAGAGATACAGACAAGAGGATTGAGAGTTCAAGACCAGTCTGGGCTACATAGACAACTATCTCAAAAAGAATTGGGGAGGAGGGAAGACTGGGATATTAGGCTACTGTGAAAATAAGCTCAGTAGTCAGGAATAAAGTTTAGACACATCCAGCAAACTTTTCAGAAATGCAACACTATTTGTTCCTCAAAAATAAACTAATAACTTTAACTTACAGGGGAGTTTTTGGTTTTTTTTTTTTTTTTTTTTTTTTTTGGTACTGGGGTTTGATCACAGAGCCTACACCTTTGAGCCACTCCACCAGCCCTTTTTTTGTGAAGGGTTTTTACAAGATAGGGCTTCAACAACTATTTGCCCAGACTGGCTTTAAACTGCGATCTTCCTGATCTCTGCCTCCTGAGTAGTTAGGATTGCAGGTGTGAGCCACCAATGCCCTGCAAACTTACAGCTTTTAAGGACCTGATCTATAAGGATCTCAAAAAATAAGCTTTCTTACAGATTCATTATCACAATTTGTAAAATGATAGCACTTTTTTGGGGGGGGGGGGTTTTTGGCAAAACTGGAGTTTGAACTCAGAACTTTGCACTTGCAAGGCCTTCAGCAGTCTACCACTGACTTCTTCAGCTTGGTAGCACATTTCTTGGCATGCTTTGGTTCATGTCATAACACCCCTTGCCTTCAAGATGTAAATAATCTCAATATATACTGACAGCTATTATAATAAAGCCAGTTTTTATATCTAGTCAGGGCTGATTGGGGGCTTTTTAACTGTTTATATGTGTTGTACGTTTGATTCTGTTCACATTCCCATTTGTTGTCCTTGTAATATTGGTAACCTAGGTTTCTTAACATGCTTTATTGATAATTAGAAGAAGCCGTGACATTAAAAAAAACCTTGAAAGGAATACCCTGTAGGTACTGTTTGTCTTTCCGTATGACCTTTTTTTTTTTTTTTTTTTGCTATACTGGGGGTTAAACTTGGCTTTGTGATTGCTAGACAGGTGCTACACCACCAGGCCCCATAGGGTGGTTTTTGTTTGTTTATGGTAGCTTTATTGAGAATTTACTCACCATAAAATCTAGCCCCCTTTTAAAGTGTATAATTTACTTATTTTTCACTATTGAGCAACTATCACCACTAACTTTAAACTATCTCCATCAACTTGTGAAAGAACTGCATACTCTCTTAACAGTCACTCTCCCCATCCCCTGACAACCACTGTCTACTTTCTGCTTCTTCTGAATATTTCATACAAGTGGAGCTTTACAATATGTTTTTTTTTCTTTTTCTCTTTACAATATGCGTTTTTTTGTCACTGATTGTATTTGGTATACTGTAAATAAATATGTATCATTCCTCTTACTGCTGAATAAGGTTTCATTGTATGAGTATACCACATCTTGCTGATCTGTTTCTTTTCTCTTGTGTATATACCTAAGATTGGAATGGCAGGATCATAGGGTAACTGTTAAATTTTTAAGGAAATGTAAACTGGCTTCCAAAAAATCATACTATTTTGCTGCCCCCAATAGCATTGAATAAGAGTTTTTAGTTTTTCCACATACTATAGCGAAATGTGTATTCAAATCCTTTGCCCATTTTTAATTTGATTTGCCTTTTTGTTACTGAGTTGTAGGAGTTCTTTACATATTCTAAATACTTACATTAATCTTTATCGGGGACATGATTTGTAAATATTTTCTCCCATTTTGTGGGAGAGGAGGGGGATGGTACTGCGGGATCAAATCCAGGCCTCACACTTACTTTGGCAGGTACTCCACCACTTAAGCCACACCCTGGCACTTTTATTTGGTTTGTTTTTTCAGGTAAGGACTTAGCTTTGTCCAATGCAGACCTCAAACTGTATTCCTCGTATCTCTACACCCTGAGTTGCTGGAGTTACAGTCCTTTTATTATTTTAAAAAATATGACCTACCTTGCACAAGGTCCTGGGTATGGTCCCCTGAAGTACCACATGAAGGAAAAATAAATTTAAAATGTAAAAAAATTAACCATCTCAGCCAATATTAAGTGTATATAGCTCATTAGTGTTAAGCACATTCACATTGTTGTATAGTCAACTCTAGAATTCTTTTTACCTTGTAAAACTGGTAAGTCAGGGCTTTCTCTCCCCACTCCACTTCAGTAAGGGGTTCAAACCCAGGGCCTCATGCCTGCCAGGCACAGGACTAGGACTGTTGAAATTAGGTGTTTACAACTGGTAGTGACATTAAGTATGTTGGGAAAATGTAGGTTAAAATGACTGGTTGCTGGCCATCAATATTGAGGTTGCAGAGGGTTAGTGGCCCATGTGTTCAGGCCTTGGTAATATTCTCCATAATTGATAGTTTTATCTCATTTTTTGGTTCTACAAATTTAAATTTGTTTGGATACACAGAATTGTTCGGCTCTCAGTGTATTGCTCTCTCTAACCAAACTTTTTAATTAAATTAATGCAGTTGACGTATTAGAATACATTGCCTTTAAGAGAGAGGGAAGGGAGAAAGAGAGGTTGGTTTCATAATTGGGATATTTGTGAATTCCAGTGCTCTTCCCTCTCATCAAAGCACTTAGGGTACTAAATTAGTGTTTGTGAATTTTTGTGGCAAGCCTAGAATTTAAAGAAAACAGAGAAAAGGATAATACTAACTGATATTTTGTCTGGACTTTAGAAAGAATTGTTGCATTGTCTTGGTATAGCATCTCCCACCTAAGGGCCATCAAATTCCAAGCCTCTGCTACAGACAGACCTCACTCATTACCAAATTCCAGCCTGTTGGGCCTCCTTATGGTAGCTCTTTTCTTCATCCTTGGGGAATGAGGCATTTCCCAAGCATCCCTTTAAGTGCCTTCTTTACATGACTAATATAATATTCACTTAGATAATTGAGCGGCTACTATATTCTAAACAATTTCTAGTTCTGGGTATGCTGTAGTGAACAACACACTTAACATAGTTCCTGTCTTCCTGATCATGTTGAGTGGCTTGTTTCTGTTACTTGAGGAACATCTTACCCTAACTTGTTTTACTGTGGATAAATATGAGATTACACTTAACTACTTACATAATATTTAGACCTCTACTGAGTTATTCTCTCTTCCACAGCAATGGCACCAGCATGATATCATTGATCATTCCTCCCAAAGACCAGATTTCACGAGTGGCAAAAATGTTGGCAGATGAATTTGGAACTGCATCTAACATTAAGTCACGAGTAAACCGCCTTTCAGTCCTGGGAGCCATTACATCTGTACAGCAGAGACTCAAACTTTATAACAAAGGTAATCTGGAGCTTAAATCCTTTTCTTTCTGTACTTTGTCTTGGTTGTGTTTTCCACTTTGATCCTGCCATTGGGTTTTATTCACTAATGTTTTCTTCAGCCTGCCATGTTTAACTTTTTTTATTTTTTTATTTATTGAAAGTTAGTATTTATAGGAATAAATCTTACTGAAACATCTCAAAAGAGGTTTTATAATTAGAGTGCAAATTCTGCCTGAGAGATCGTTAAGGATATTTCTGTTTTGTTTAAGTTATGACTGGGAACATTTTAAAATAGAGAAACTGTTTATATGTTTCTTTACAGTACCTCCAAATGGTCTGGTTGTTTACTGTGGAACAATTGTAACAGAGGAAGGAAAGGAAAAGAAAGTCAACATTGACTTTGAACCTTTCAACCAATTAATACGTCATTGTATTTGTGTGACAACAAATTCCATACAGAGGTAAGAGTTTGAGCACAGAACATTTTCATCATTTTTAAAAGAAAAGTCGTATATATCAACAATCACTGTCCATTCCCCCAACCTTTCTTAACTCTTAAAACCACTAATCTATTTTCTGTCTATAGGTTTGCTTATACTGCACATTTTATACATGGTACTGTATAACTTGTAACCTTTTTTTACCTGACTTCTCTAACTTACCTTTATATTTTTAAGGTTAATCCATGTGGTAACATGTATCATACTCTTTCATTCCTTTTTTTTTTTTTTTTTTTAAACCACCAAATAAAGCATGATATTACATAATGTCCCTTTTTTAGTGGTACTGGGGCTTGGACTCGGCCTCATGCTTGCTAGGCAGGCACTCTACCACTTAAGCCACTCTGCCAGCCCTATGGATAATGCTACATTTTATACATATATTTATCAGTTGGTTTACACCTGGGTTATTTCCATTGTGTTGGATATAATGAATAATGTTGCTACGAATATTCTTACAGGTTTGTGTGTGTGTGTGTGTGACTATTTTCATTTTTGTGGATTATATCTAGGAGGTGGAATTGCTAGGTCATAGAAACTGTGTTCAACCTTTTGAGAAGTTGTTTACATTGTTTTCCAGACCATAGAAAATGGTACCATTTTACACAGGTAATTCATTTCAAAAGGCAAAATAACATACATTTATTATAGCACTAGTCATCATCATGTTTGAAGAAAGTGTTAAACTGGATTTGAAGAACTAATTAAGAGATAAATAGATGTGTCAAATCTCCTTCTCTCCCTGTTTACCAATGATACTTGCCTGTATTTTTTGTACCCTTAGTTTTCAGATTACATATTGTAAATTTTTAGTAACAAGAGCTGTTCCTTCTCTTTCCTTTCCCCATGAAACTTTTTTTTTTTTTTTCATAAGTGCATACAATGTTTGGGTCATTACTTCTCCCTTCCCCCACCTCCCCTTGAAACTTTTGAGTGACAGAGCTGTCATATGATGAACTTCAGTGGTGGCAAGGAAGCCTTGTTAAAGTGATCTAAATCAGTCAACAGTAGAACAATCAGGAATTCACAGCTGGCTCCTAGTTTAGTATCTTGTCTTTCATTGACCTAGGGAAAAACCTCTACAGCAGAATTAGAACTGACATTTGTCCACACAGTTTACAATAGATGATTTTTGCTAACTTGACAGGAAATCCAATTCCAGTTGAATCTTGGTCAACTGCATGGATGATCCAGCCTGTTTTTATCTTAGCTACTGCAGTCTCCTTCTGGCAGAGGCGCCATTGGGGAATTCTTTGCTACTCTGTCCCATTTATCTGTGTTTGGTTTTATGAAAATAAGATTTTGAATCTTTCTCATTTGGTACCTGTGTTGTCTGGATTTAGCTCATTTACTAAGCTAGCCTTGCTGGGGTTTTTTTCTAAACCAAATTCCTTTTCCAACGTACCATTTAATCTTTCTAGCTTTATATATTTGGGCTTTAAATGACTATGCTGGGTACCAGCGGCTCACACCTGTAATCCTAGCTACTGAGGAGGCAGAGATCAGGAGGATTGAGGTTTGAAGCCAGCCTAGCCAAATAGTTTTTGAAACCCTTTCTTGAAACAAACCCATCACAAAAAAGGGCTAAAGGTGTAGGCCCTGAGTTCAAGGCCCAGTACTACCCAAAAAAAAGTAGAAATCAGGATCTTTGTTCCAGGCCAGCCCAGGCAAATAATTTGAGAGACCCTATCCTCAAAGACACCCAACACAAAAGGGTTGGTGAAGGGGCTCAAATGGTAGAGCACCTGCTTAGCAAACATGAGGCCCTGAGTTCAAACCCCAGCACCTAAATAAATATAAAGTAAAGCAACGAACTTAGAAAGCTGAAACAAGAATATTATTAGTTCAAGGCTAGCCTGGGATCTGTAGCAAGACCCTTGCTAAAGAAAGGAGGGAGGGGAAAAATGATAGTAGTATACTGTATATCACAAAATTTTTAAATTGTGTTTTATCATTTTTACATTTACTTATATGTGTATACATTATTTGGGCCACTCCTCCCCCCCCCACCCCCGGCATATCACAATTTATGTCCTAATAATGATTATGCATTCTTAAGGAATAATTCCTTAATAATCAGACTTGTTGAAAACATTAATTAAGGTACCTAACAGATCATTATGATAAAAGGCTGTTCTAGTTTTGGGTACTAACAATTGAATCCAAGGGGTTCCATTGTGCTAAACATATCCTCTAACACTGAACTGGAACCCCAGAACATGCTTTATTATTCATGTCTTGGCTTCTTTGTTTTTGAGGCAGGTGCACTGCCATACTTAACTCGCAGTATTCTTATGTTAATGCTAATTATCAAGCATGGTTTGGCTAAAGATGGATTCTTTGGAGGGAGGCAGTACTAGAGTTTGAACTTAAGGGCCTCACACTTGCTAAGCAGGAGCTCTGCCACTTGAGCCACTCTGCTAGCCCTGTTTTGTGTTGGGTATTTTCGAGATGGATGGCTCCTGAACTATTTGCCTGGGGTTGGCTTCAAACCAAGATCCTCCTGAGTAGGTAGGATTACAGGCATGAGCCACCATCACCTGGCTAAAGATAGATTTTTAATTGATTAGTCTTCTTTCTAAACTTTTTTTGGGGGGGAGGAGGGCATTGGGGTTTGAATTGAGGGCCTCATGCTGGGTAGGCAGGTGCCCTTACCACTTGAGCTCCTCTCCCAGCCTTTTTGTGTGTGTGTGTTGGGTGTTTTCAAGGTAGGGTCTCTCCAACTATTTGCCCAGGCTGGCTATAAACTGACTCCCTGATCTCTGCCTTCTGAGTAGGTAGGATCACAGGCGTGAGCCACTGGCACCTGTCTAGAAGCTATTTTCTTTTTGTTGTTGTTAGTGGTGGTTTTTTGGGTTTTTTTTTTTGTTTTTACGTTTTAGCAAGGACTTATTTTAGTATAATAGGATAAAGCATAGACGAGGGGTGTGGGGGGGAACATTTCCTGTTCTCCATGCAGGAAATGGGAGCAAAGACTTTAGAAGCTATTTTCTACCTAGCTAAAAGGGAATAAGTAATGATTTCTTAGTTCTAAGGAGATTGCTACCTGACGATTAATGATCTTTCATCCAGTAGTATTTAAAATCCATTATGAAAATGTCTATTTGGGTCCTAGGACTACTTAAATATTTCCTCTTTGGAGAGGCAGAAATTTGGAGATGAAAAGCTAACTCGGAAGTTTTCACCATAAAATTTAGAATTGGTAGTTTTAATATACGTTTAAAACTGAGTTTGAGGTTTGTTTGGTTTTTTGGTGCTACTGGGATTTGAACTCAGGACTTCACACTTGTTAGACAGGCACTCTGCTGCTTGAGCCCTGCCTCCAGCTTCCTGAGTTTGAGTTTTATCCAGATATCATTAATGTTGCTCAAGGTTACAGGAATTGAACATTTCAAGACTAGAAATTAATTTTAAGAGACTGTTTCTTGGTATTCATGTACTTGTAACTGTACACTTGATTGTGGTCTAGTAATGCTGGAGTTTTTAATGGTAATAGTAAGTCAACTTTTAGGGTTGGGATAGTAGTTTTGGTAGACCACTTGACCTAATAAAATTCATGAGATCCTGGGTTCAATTCTAAGCACTGCTCCAGGGAGGAAAAAAAAGGAATCACCTTTTGGAAGTTAGATCCTTTATTTGAATGTTATGCTCCATAGACTACATGTCTTAATTAAATGAAGGGCTAAAAAGAAATTTGAGCTTATAACTTTGAATTTAGGGGTTTTTCCTGTTTGTTTTTGTTTTTGACTGGAGGTGTGGTTCAAGTGGTAGAGCATCTGCCTAGCAAAGCCCAAAGCTTTGAGTTTAAGCTCCTCTATTGTCCTTCCCCTAGCAAAAAAATTAAATGGTTGGGAAGGAGTTCAGTGGTAGAGTGTTTGCTTAGCATAGGAGAGACCCTGTTTGTTCCCTAGCATTGCAAAAAAAAAGGTTTGGTTTGGTTGGTTGTTGAATCTGGGTATTGCTATGTAGCTTAGTCTGGCCTTAAACTCATAATCCTCCTGCCTTCTAAATCTTGAGATTATGGTTTTGCTTCACAGTGTCCAGCCCCAGTTTTGAGGGGTTCTGTTTAGTCATAATGTTGTATAACCATCACCACCATCCATCTCCAGAACTCTTTTCATTTTGTAAAACTCTACACCTGGTAAATGGAAATTAGCTCCCCTATTCTTCCTTCCCTCTGGTCCTGCAACACCATTCTGCTTAAGAGTTGCATGTTGATAGCTGAAATTTATAAATTGTCCTATAAAGTGGGTTTTTTTCACTTTGTTCGTACCATTGTGAGTAGTGTTAAAGGACTTACGTTCTTTTGGATTTTGTCTTACCTTAGCAAAGCTTCAGAATGTCGTACTTGTGTTTATTTTCCAGGCTCTAACAGCACTACTTTCAGATGACAGCAAGTTCGGCTTCATTGTAATAGATGGCAGTGGTGCTCTTTTTGGCACACTTCAAGGAAACACAAGAGAAGTCCTACACAAATTCACTGTGGATCTCCCAAAGAAACACGGTAATATAGGAAGAGAACATGAGCCCTTTTACTTTGTAATTAGCAGGAAAGTCCCTCTCTGTAGACAAATAGCGGTCTGTGCTAAACACTTACTTAAAGGAATGAGGATTTTTTTTTTTTAACTTGGTCCTTTCTTAGGTAATGATTTTTATTATTTTTAATTCACAGTGGCTTTTTTTCCCCCCCTCACCATTTTTGTGTCAAAGGTAGAGGAGGTCAGTCAGCCTTGCGTTTTGCCCGTTTAAGAATGGAAAAGCGACATAACTATGTTCGGAAAGTAGCAGAGACTGCTGTGCAGCTGTTTATTTCTGGGGACAAAGTGAATGTGGCTGGTCTCGTTTTAGCTGGATCAGCTGACTTTAAAACTGAACTAAGTCAGTCTGATATGTTTGATCAGGTAAGTGAGAAGTAGATGATCTGTTATGTAAATCTCTAAGTAATAGTAGATAAATCTCCTGTATAAACCTCTTGGATATGCACATCTTTTTGCATATGCAGCCATAAATTCCTTGGATTAGATTCCTATTGCTGTGGTCTAGGCATGGGTCCCAGTGGCAGAGCATTTGCCTAGCATGCATAAGGCTCCGGGTTCAGTTGCTAGCACCACCAAAATGAATGAATAAATGAATAACTTTGAGTTAAATGGTGTAGTAGGTTTATGAATATTTATTAGAAAACATCCCTTCATGCTTTTCTGAGCCCTTTCTCTATTGAAATCAGTCATTTCTAGGTGGGATTCTTATAAGTCCTGTGAAGGTAGGTCCCTGGCATTTAGTGGGTGCTGTAATTGACTCTGAAAATGGTTTGATTCAGAGAAACTAGAATCTGTATTTTACTGTCTTTTTGCTGATTTGTTCCTGGAGGTAAAGCAGTAAAATGACATGCAATATCCAGAGAATCTTTCGGTTTATGGCATGGGCTCAGCCATAACATGTTCCTAAAGTATTCTTTGTCACTTTTTTTGGTGAGGGAGGTGGGGCTGGGGTTTGAACTCAGGGCTTCAAGCTGCTTGCAAAGCAGGCACTCTACTGCTTGAGCCATTTTACTGCGGTTATTTGGAGATGGGAGGGTCTCTTTTTGTTTTGGACAGTACTGGCATTTGAACTCAGGGCTTCACACTTGCTAGGCAGATCTCTACCACTTGAGCCACTCCTCCCAGCCCTGAGAACTATTCCTGGGCTGACCTCAAACTGTGATCCTCCCAATCTGGTGTGAGCCAGCAGCCGGCACCCAGCCTTCATTATTTTCTTTGACAAGAGTCAGTTGCTTCCCCCACACACACACCTTTTTTAAAAATATATTTATTTATTTTTGTGATACTGGGCTTTGAACTTAGGACTTAACACCTTGGGCTGCTCCACCAGCCCTTTTCTATGATGGGTTTTTTTCCAGACAAGGTCTTGGGCTGGCTTCAAACTGTGATCCTCCTGGTCTCTGCCTCCTGGGTAGCTAGGATTACAGTTGTGAACCACTGGCACCCAGCTTCCCCTTTCCATCATACAATATTTTTGTTTCATTTACTGGGTTGTCCTGAAGTAGGTGTGATAGAATATGTGATATAATTGGCTGAGAAAGTTTGCCCTGGCAGTGTTATTGCAAGAACAGATCTTGAACAAATTGGCCACCATACCGGTATTTAAACTTCAGAGATCATAATGCCAAGAGATTTGCTGGCATTGAAATACTGGGGCCAGGCACATCTGTAATGCTAGCTACTCAGGAGGATTGCGGTTTGAAGTCAGCCCAGGCAAATAGTCTGCGAGACCCTATCTCAAAAATACCTAATGCAAAAAGGGCTGGTGGAGTGGCTCAAGGTGTAGGCCCTGAGTTCAAGGCCCACTACTGCCAAAGATTAAAAAAAAGATACTGGGTGTGGGTTAAGTTATTTTGAAGTCCTAATGTTTTTGTTTTGTTTTTTTAATTGTGTTAGAGGTTACAATCAAAAGTTTTAAAATTAGTTGATATATCCTATGGTGGTGAAAATGGATTCAACCAAGCTATTGAGTTATCTACTGAAGTCCTTTCCAACGTGAAATTCATTCAAGAGAAGAAATTAATAGGTATTTTGTTTATTCTGTGGAATGTTTGTGTGCGTGTATATATGTTTAAAGCAAGATACTGAAAAGTTAAAAAAGAAGATTTAGCATTCTGAGTAAAATTTTCTGCCTCCACATAATCATTTTTTCCCATTTTATTAGGATACTGTATTCATTGTATGGGGGGATTCACAATTTTGAATTACCTTACCTTGTAGATTGGTTAGATCGTCCCCACCAATACCCCTCCATACCCTACTTGAAGCAATTGGAAGAGGTTTCAATGTTCTATTTCATATATATGAAGCCTGTCACCTTATCTTCTCCGTTTACCCTCCCCCTCTCACAACTACTCCCCCACACTACCTATTTTATAGTCCTGTCATTCATTATTAATTCCAAAGTCAATGTTCAAAGGGATTTCTCAAAGTATTCCTTCTGTGAGTATACTTTGGTCAGTTCAACCCCTTCCATTACTTACCCTTACCTCCCACCCTCCATTACTCTACAGCTGCCAATACATACTGTTAGAGCCTCTACCTGCAGCGATATAACATATTTCAATATTGTTGACTATCATTCTCTTTTCCTTTCCCTCTCCGAAGTTCCTTGAGACATAATCATTTTTAACTGTTAGTCATTAGGTGTAATAAATGTCTTTGTATCTACCAGGAAAAATGTAATATATACTGATAACCTTCAGTATCTACAGAACATTGAGTTCAGGACTTTTTGCATACCAAAATCCACAGGTGCCCAAGTCCCTTAAAGTGGTGTAATATAACCTACACACATCTTCCCATGTGTATTAAATTATGTCTAGATTACTTATAATACCCAACACACTGTAAATGTTACATAAATAATTGTTATGCTGTATCGTTTAGGTTACAGTGACAAGAAAAAGTCTGCCTATTCAATAGAGATGTAACCATCATAGGTCTAACTACATAATACACATCAGCAAAATATAACTTTATCTGAATAATTTTTAGCCACACTTGGGTAAGGTCATAGATACAAAGAGCTGACTATGTATTTTATTTTCCTATCCCTAATCCACAGGACGATACTTTGATGAAATTAGCCAGGATACAGGCAAGTACTGTTTTGGAGTTGAAGATACACTAAAGGCATTGGAAATGGGAGCTGTAGAGATTCTAATAGTCTATGAAAATCTGGATATAATGAGATACGTTCTTCATTGCCAAGGCACAGAAGGTAAAAGAATCATAAAATAATGTTGCTGTTTGTTAACATTCTGTTGTTTTCAGGAAATCTGGGGTGGAAATTTGGGAGGGATGGCTGGTTCAGGAGCAGTCTGAAGGCAGAGCTACCCCTATTCCTTACTCTGTTGGTCTATAGCATGTAATGTGTGTAGATTTTTGTGTTTGAGCTATTGTCAGCTTATGATTGTTTAATTTGCTGAGGGCCAGAACTGTATCTGGAATGTCTTTGGTTTTTTCTGGAGCAGTGAACCTGGTTTATGCTTAGTGCATACTAAGATGTTGGTGGGAAGGAGGTTTAACACAATTAGTCAAGGAGCCCTTTTTTAATATAACTTCATCTCACAGGGATTATGCCTATTAGTATATGAGAACCAAGTTAACACAGTTTTTTCCCTTTAATGCTATAGAGGAGAAAATTCTGTATTTAACTCCAGAACAAGAGAAGGATAAATCTCATTTCACAGACAAAGAGGTATGCGGTTGTTTTCTCTGTTTGGTTATACTTGCAAGAAAGCCTAGGTATGTGTGTTAGAACACTAACAATGTAGAGTATCAGCCTTTGAAAACTAAATCTCATACTAATTAGGGGACCCAGAGAAAGTAAGTCAGCTTCTGTCTGCTAAACACTAATCTGATTCCAAGGAAGGAGACCAAGTCATGAATACCGTGGACTTTTTTTGTTCTGGTAGTTGAACCCAGGGCCTCAAAAAGCATGCTCTTACACTTGAGCCTCACAAAGCCCCCATACACTTTTGTTTGTATTTTGATTTTGGCTTCAAACTCAGTCCTCCTGCCTCTGCCTCCCAAGTAGCTGGGATTGCAGGTATGCACTGCCACCAAACACACTGGGTTTGAACTCGGTGCTTTGCATTTGCAAAGCAGGTGCTTTGCCACTTGCCACACCTCCATTCCGTTTTGTTGTAGTTATTTCGGAGATGGGATCTTCTGAACTATTTGCCTGGGCTGGCCTAGAACCTTAATCCTCCCAATTTCAGCCTCCCAAGGAGCTAGGATTGCAGGTGTGAGCCACCAGCACCACCTGACCCTGGCTGCTTTCAGCTCTTCTAGTGCAGTAGCTTCTCTTGGTTTAGTCTGAATACATCACCACTTTAAATGTTACCTTCCTGTACAAGATGGCTGTTAGTAGTTGGTAGCATCCTTAAATTCTAAGTTGGAGGACTTCGAACTTCACAGGGCTGCTCCAAAAACAGCTGTGGTGTGTCTCTTCTGGGCTGTTGATTAAGTTTTGCATAGAGATGATAGGAGTCATAAATTGAAAAACCATTAAGGGAGTGTTGATACTTCATTGCTGCAGCTGGAGCCTGAGGAGGTGTGTTGAAATAATCAGAATTTCTCTGCTGTTTGACATTAATTCGCTTTGTCTTATGCACGTTTTTAAACATACAAAATAAGTGGGAGAATTGAATGATGATGGACAGGGGGATTGAGAAAGGTGGGTTAAGCCTTGATACATACTAATCCCATGCTTTTGTTTGCTCCTGTAGACAGGACAGGAACATGAGCTGATTGAGAGCATGCCCCTCTTGGAATGGTTTGCTAACAACTATAAAAAATTTGGAGCCACATTAGAAATTGTCACAGATAAGTCACAAGAAGGATCCCAGTTTGTGAAAGGATTTGGTGGAATTGGAGGTGAGTAGAACTATGGTTTCAGGACAACGCCTCTCCTGGCCTGAAATAAGTCACTTCAGGTGAAGTAAGCTCATAACTATTTGAGACAGGTAGTTGGAACAGCAGGTACATTCCTTGATGGGGACCTTTTTAGTTTTTTAGTTTGTTTTTGTTTTCTGAGACAGGGTCTCACTGTGTAGTCCAAACTTGCATGGAACTCACTGTAGCTCAGGTTTGTCTTTTTTTGGTACTAGGGCTTGAACTCAGGGCCTCATGCTTGCTAAGCAGGTGCGCTACCACCTGAGCCACTCCACCAGCCCTTTTGTAGTTAGGTAATTTTTCAAGATAGGGTCTCTGAAACTATTTCCCAAGGCTGGCTTCAAACCATAACCCTTCTGATCTCTGCCTCCTGAGTAGCTAGGATTACAGCCATGAGCCACCAGCACACAGCTTTCCTTGAATTCTTTTTTTTTTTTTTTTTCCTTCATTGCTGGGGTTTGATCTCAAGGCCTACAACTTGAGCCACTCCACCAGTCCTTTTTTTGTGATGGGCTTTTTTCGAGGTCAGGTCTGGCTTCACATTGCAATCCTCCTGATCTCTGCCTCCTTAGTAGCTAGGACTATAGGCATGAGCCACCAACGGCACCCAACTTTCCTTGAATTCTTGACCCTCCTGCCTCAGCCTCCCAAGTGCTGGGATTATATATAAATGTGCCACATCACGGGACTTTATTCGGACCAATTTGGAGTGGTAGGCAGGGCTGGGGTTTGAACTCAGGGCTTGCAAAGCAGGTGCTCTATGGCTCTGGCCATATCTCTAGCCCATTTTTTCTGGTTGTTTTGGAGCTGGGGATTTGGGAACTGTTTGCCCTTGATGCTCTCAAACATTGATCTTCCCAATCTCAGCCTTCCAGCTAGCTAAGATTACAGGCATGATCCACCTCTTTGTAATTCTGCAAAAGTGTAGGCTTCCCTTATTAAAGCAACCCCTCCCTATTCTAGGAATTTATGTGTTTATACTTTGGTCTATTTCTCCAGGTATCTTGCGGTACCGAGTAGATTTCCAGGGAATGGAATACCAAGGAGGAGACGATGAATTTTTTGACCTTGATGACTACTAGGTAGTCGACATGGGTCCGGCAAAACGTGCCTCACCCTCCAGCATCCAACCCAAGGAGCATACCCGTGGTGGAATCCAAACAGATCCCTGCCTTACAATTGGAACATTTCCAGAACTTAATCCATGAGTATTGGATACTGAAAAGAAAACCGAAACAAAACCAGACCCAACCCTACACTTTGGTTTGTCATGGTGTCAGCGCAGCAGCCTACAACTAAGTTCCTAAATGCCACTTCGGACTAATTTAAAAAAAGAATCCCAGTTTTTACTTTTACTCGATGGTGAAATTGGTTGCTCTTGTATTTTATGAAAAAAAAAATGATTTTTTTAACCTTCATACATAGAAGCAAAAATACTTTAACTGCTGTAAACCTTCAAAAGTTAATAGAAGTGAGATCATACTGGTTTGTTTCTTACTTTGATCGGAAAAAAAATTAAATTGCTGCATTTTGCAGTGACCCATTTACATGGCATTCTCAGCTTAGACTGCGTAAGAAGAAATATATGTGGTGAAATGTTGGAACCATTTCTCTCTTGGTCTCTGTTTAATGTTGAAAGGGTGAGCTAATTGGAGGCAAATTCAACTTCACTCCCTCATATTCCCCCCACTCCAGACTGTCAGTTTCAAGGGTGCAGATTGCATTGCAAGTCAAACTGATGAAGCATTGGGGCCAGTGCACTATTTACTTCCATCTGTTTAGCAGGCACTTTTGTGCCTGACATTTGGGAGCCCTTTGTATCACTTGCTTTGGCAAAGGTCCCCATAATCTTAGCATACTAGAAACCAGTTTGGTATGGATGTGATTGGGCTTCTGTGCTGTTGCTGGGATTGGAAGAAATAAAACATGCAATTGAAGTGGAAGCAAAAAAATTAAAGGTTATTATTTCATTTTGCTTGGGTCTAGTCTTGGTGAAAGGGAGGTGGTCGTGTTTCCTTGTGTTGGATGGCATGAGATTATGTGAATGTTTTGATTTTTAAAAATGAACTGCAAGATTTTTCACAGGAATGACAGACAAGACATGTATGGCTGTGCATGTAATTATATACCCCTGGTGGGGTTGGAGGATCTGTTTCAAATGTTGGACTTACAAGCACCTCTCAGATGAGAAATTATGGGAGGAAGGGTGGGAAGGATAGGGGGGTGGGAAGGGATGGGACACAGCTTCTGGCACCTTGGACTAAACCATGTTGGATCCAAAAGTTGGCCTGAAAACATGAAGCTTATGCTTCATAGCTGGGCTGTAAGGCAGACTTGAGCCCAGCTCATAGGCAAGGTAGTGACAGTGAACAAAGTGTGTAGGTTGTGCCCAGTGGTAGCAACAGAAAAAAATATACTAAAGGGACTTTGAAGGACCAAAGGTTTTTAAAGTCAATTGGTATCACCCCCATACTGATGAGGGTAATGGGGTGCATTTGGTTTTCAAATTGGGTACTTTTTAACACTTTAGTGCCTGACTGCTGTTCTTCACTGACTTGACTCAGTCACTTGTAGCTTTATTGGTCTGAACCGGCTCCTTGTTCCCAGGTTACAGACCTGCCTATCGTTCCAATAATCCTGTTTCACTTGAATGGAGTATGTCTTAAATGTAAAGCTTCTGGTTCACACACTGTACTCTGAGGTCCAAATAACTGTCTGTCATTTAACCTGATGTCTCAACCCCCAGTGAGAAGAGTCAATTCTTTGGTGTTCACCGACATGGGAGGCTTCACCGGAACAGGTTTCTGCTTTGGGCTCTGCTGTTTGTTTGCAGAACACCCAAGAGCAAGCAACATGCTCTCTTCACAGCAGTACCTTAGGGTTTTGCCATTGTAAATGGGTCTAATGTGATATGACAAGACCAGAGAAATTGGATGTAAATTTACATTTTTGAATATGCTTGTTGTTTCACATGATACATTTAGGGTATGCAGCTCCTTTTGTAGTTTTTATTTTTACTATTTAAGTTTGGAAATGATGCCAAATTTTTGTATTTCTTTAATCAATGTGTTCTCTTCAGTGATATATATTGCATTATATATTGATGTGTGTATCAATATATACTGATATGTATTACACTTACACATACAAACACATAAATAAGAGGGGGTGAAAACCGTAGCCTTTGCATTCTCATAGCCTCTGCAGAAAGATTCCAAGCAGCTAAAATCTTGGTGTTGTGATGTACAGAAATGGAGAAGAGTATTAAACCATATTTAAGAATACACCGTGTGCTTTGAGATTTTTTAGGACTGTTCCTAGAAAAGTTTGGACTTTGTGGAGACAGTTCTCCAGAGACTTTGTCAGATTAGTCATGTCTAATAAATTTACAGCCTTAGAGGTTTTTTTACTATATTTGTCTATGCAAAAGATGCCTATGGTCATGATCCCAAGGTTATACTAGAGGGAGGAGATTCCATTTGCTAGGACCAGACTAATCTGTATCTTCCCCCATTCCACATGTATGTCAAAAGATAAACTTGTGTCTTTTTTTTTTAAGGGGCATTTCAAGTATTCTCAACATTCCATAGAGGTAGATGGTGCACAAGGAAACTGTATACCATATAGACCAAAAGAGATCTGGTAGCAGCTCTTTACTTATTAAGACAAAATTTTGTCCTAGTTCCGATTCCAAAGTTGGTCGTCTCTACAATCTGCTTGCTTTTAGTCCTATAATAGAACAGTCCAGATGGAAGAGCAAAAAACTAGGCCTGAGCATTTCCCCCATCTTGCATACCTTTCTGTGTTAGAAGAGTCATGCTAGCTAAGTAGAGCAAGGCTCCTAGGCCAGGTTAAGAGCAGAATAAACTCTTTTCTCTAAAGGTGGGGATGTTTGGAGCCTCTTCTGTTTATAGTTTGGAAGTCTGATTGAGGAGCTTAGGTGGTGCATCTTCTGCTTTCTCCAGATTTGACCAAAAATATAGTTAAGGCCTGTTAATGGCAGTTTTTCTGTCACTGCTTCAATATATTTTTGTACATTTTCTTGATGCCTTGAAACCCAGTCACCCTTTGGGAACGGGCAGACCTCTGGGGGCAGATGGAGGTGTAACTTCTATTGCATCTCCTAGGTGATATTCTTGAAGTCAAATTGTTAGAAGGCAGCATGGGAAGTGCCCGATGTATGGGCCAGGCACTTGCCTGTCTGGACCCGTGGCATTTGCCATCTTTTGTTCTCTGGCTCTGGTTCCTATGTCATGACACTCCCAGACAAGACCAGTAGATTCAGGGCTGAGTGCCAAGATGGAATTTAAGCCTCATGCCAGCTTCTCCCTTTTAGCCAGCTTGAGTGAGAGCCAGATGGGACTCCCATCTGCCAAGTCCCACCCTGATGGGACTGTGCTTTAAGGGGTATGGAAACATGCTAGAGCCAGTGGAGCAGGGCAGTTGTTTGGTTTGTAGCAGTTTGGATTCCACAAACAGCTAAGGATGCGATTGAAAAACAGGAAGTGGAGGTACATATGCCAATAGTTCATCTCCAGGGTGAATTCTGTTTGAGGTAGATCTACCTCCATGAGTCACCCTCTGAACTTGCTTGGCAGGCTCACCTGGGGTCTTAAAAAAAAAAGTCTTCTAAACTAGGCCTGGTGGTGCATCGCTATAATCCCAGCTCTTGGGAAGCTGAAGGTAGGAAGATCTCAATTTGGAGGCCAGTGTGTGCTGTATTAGTAAGATCCTGTCTCCATAAATTTTTTATGTTTGGTGTTTATTTTTATTGTTTAAGAATGTATGTATTCTGCAGCATTGGGGTTTGAACTCAGGGCCTTACACTTAGTAGCCCAACGTTTTAAAAAGTAAAAGCCGTGGTTCTGGCTCTTAACAATAGCTGGAGTTTGTGACTTCAGCTAAGTTCCTTCTTAGTCCTCGGTTTCCCTATCAGCATAAGGCAGGCCCTGAGTCTGAAGCACCTTTCCAGCTATGAAGCAGGAGCTTCACAACTGATGGATAGAAATCCTGGCTCTGCCTGAGAAACTGGCAAATTATCCCATGTCTGTGAGCATCAGTTTTCTCACCTAATTATTCTTAATGGCTAGGGCTGGGATAATGAGCTACTTGCGATGGTCCTACCAACACTATTCCTGTGGAAGTTGCCAGGATGAGTTTGCTAGAGACCACAAGGTGGTGCTAGACCACAAGGATGCTGGCTATGGAAGAAATTTGCTTTATCTGATGGAGCGCAGATTTCTGGCTAGCATTAAGAGGTGCCTTGGTTAGCTGGGGGTGTGGCTCAAGAGGGAGAACTCCTGCCTAGCAAGCTTGAGACCCTGATTCAAATCTCAGTACAGCCATAAATAAATAATCCTGGAATAGCTTGCTTTGCCCTTAAATGGAGAGAGCAGTCTGCAAAGGAAGTAGGGATATGTGAACTGAGAGAACCCAGGAGTCTCCTTCCAGTTTGGTCCCATTTTAGCACTCTGAAACTTGTTTTGAGCTATCCATCTGTAAAATAACTATAGTCACATTTGTTGAACAGTTATGTAATCTGTAAAAAAAAAAAAATGAGGTAGATACTGTTTATATCTGCCTAAGTTCACAAGTGGCAAAATTGAGGACTTAAAGACTTTTTGGTTCCAAAACTAGTGAAATGAAGGCCATTCTCACTCTAAAAGGGAAAGACAGTTGCTGGTGCAAGTAAGAAGATAGGTGACTTGCTTTGCCAACCACCATTTTCAGAGTCAGCCGACAGCTTGAATTGCATCTGGGAGGCACCCATTAGTGTTTCTGTCCTTCCCCTCAAACATTTTGACTGATCAGCCAGCTTAGCCATAGCCACAGTTGAGGATAAACCAAAGGAGCTCCCTTGGGTTCTCAGGGAGCCCTTATAATTTACCCAGCATCTTCACATAAGAGTAGACACGCAGGAATTTCTCAGATATTAGCGTGTCTGCCTGCCCAATTTTTTTTTTTTTTTTTGGTGGTACTGGGGTTTGAACTCAGGGCTCACATTTGCTAGTCAGGTGCTCTACCACTTGAGCCATGCTGCCAGCCCCCTTATTTTTTAAATTTGTTTTGCAGTGCTGGAATTGAACCCAAGGCCTTGTACATGCTAAGCATGTGTTCTATCATTGAACCATACCCTTACCCCTTTTATTTAGTTACATGGTACTGGAGTTTGAACTCAGGCCCCATACTTGCTAGACAAGTGCTCTACCACTTGGAACCATTCCGCCAGCCCTTTTTTGTGTTGGGTTTTTTCGAGATAGGGTCTCAAGAACTATTTGCTCAAGCTGGCTTCAAACCAAGATCCTCCTGATTTCTGCTTCTTGAGTAGCTAGAATTGCAGGCTCAAGCCATGGCCGGCCGCCCAGCGTATATATTTTTTGAGAAACGGGTCTTCCTATGTTGCCCAGGTTGGACCCAAACTCCTGGCTCAAGCAACTCTGCATCAATCTCCCAAGAAACTGGAACAACAAATGCATACCACTGTGCCAAGTTTGCCCCTGCTCTTAAAATTGTGTTGTTAGTAGGACAATTAACAAAGCTGACATGTGGACTATGTATAAAAAGTATTGTTCAGTGTTAAATCTCTGCTCAATAACTATTGTGGTTATGTAAGAGATTATTCTTTCTTAGGAAATGTATGTTGAAGTATCAGATTTAAAATAAAGCATATTGGGCTTCCAGAGAAGAGTTTGTTCTGCAGGGTTTGCAATTCAGAAGAAATCCCTACTCTGAGTCAACCCAGGGGGCTGAGACCTAGGAGTTGGGGCTACGGCTGGAAAGCAGCAGAGGCAGTGCTAGGAGAGGAACTGCTGTCATACGCTCTGGTGCTAGAGTCAGCTTTCTGGTTAGTCTGGAGCTGGGTGAAATGAGGCAGTATTGTAATCCTAGCTACTCAGGAGGCAGAGATCAGGAAGGTGGTGATTCGAAGCCACTCAGAGCAAATAATTTTCGAGACACTATCGTGAAGAAAAAAGCCGTCATAAAAAGGCTGGTTGAGTGGCTCAAGGTGTAGGCCTTGAGTTCAAAAACCCAGTACCAAAAAAACCACATCATTCTCTTTAATGTTATGGATGAGAAAAAAGAGAGTCAGAGGCAGCAAGTGAATGGCCTAAAGTCAAAGACAGAGCTGGGAGGGAAAGGGTTATGAAAGCTGTTTTGAAGTCACTTCCCTGTGTGAGTCAGGGTTGGCTTGAATGTGTAGATTAACTTGTTTCTC